ATGAGATCTTATTTGTCACACTTATAGCTGAAGTGACAGATCCGTATGAGATCTTATTTGTCATATTTTTATTTTGTGTTTTGGAATCTTATTTGCCATCTACAACCCTTGTCTACTAATGTAGAATTTACTCTACTCTAATGTAGAGTTAACCAACAGTCAAAGTTCTTCTCCAACCATTTGCGCTGCATTTTACTTTATATGAATATTTAGATTTTATTCTCTTTATTTTAAATTATTTTTAATACCAAGAATATTTTATAATGAAATATATCATTTTACATATAATTATTTATTTAAATTATATTGATATATGATTGAAAAAAATTACAATTAAATACAACATTATTTATGTCAAGTTTATTTTCTTGCCAACATTATTAATTAATTTAATAATAATATTCACAAGAAAATTATAATTAAATTAACAATTTTTAATGACATATAAATTTATATATAAAAATTTATACAAAAACATTACATAAAAAACAAAAAACAAAGTATGAACTCTACATAAAAATTTTTTATATTAAAAAAAAAAAAAAAATATTAAAACAATGCAGATGAAAAGTACTGCGTAGTACTGTAGATATATGTATTGTGGCACATAAAATAGCCCAGTACAATAAATTTTACACAACTCCAGCGTAATCAACGAATGTAGGAGAAAGCATAATTATTTCAATAATAAATTAAATATTTTTTTTATTAAAACAAATATTATTTATTTAATTCCATATTTTTCTGCCATAGTTATCATAATACTTTTCCTTTTATTTCATTTTTTTTCTATTACATATCTTCACTTAAATCAATCACATTAATTTATTTCTCAAATTTTCTGTTTAATATTAACATAGAACTCGTTTCGAAGATGAAGAAATATGATATTATTCTTTTGAAAATGATCTTTGTTTAAAATATAATTGATATGCCATCAACCTAAAAAAATAAATAATTAATTATTTAAATTCTAAAATTACATATGAAGTTAAAAAAACTATAGCTTGACATTTAAATACTAAAATTATATATGAGTGTTTAACTATTATGATTAAAAATATATAGTCTAACAATTTAGTTAAAACAAAAATTATTTTAGTTTTAAAAAATAAAATAAATATTTAACTAATACAATGGTACACACGTTGCAAATACTATTAGTCCTCCATCCATCATGCTTGGAAGAATTTAAGCATTTACTACTTACTAGTGTGTTGTCCGTGCGATGCACGAAAAAACAATATTAGGATTGTGTTATAAAATAAATATACAAATAAATAAATCAAGATTTACCCATCATTTTTAAATTAAACCGTGTTGGACACAGTCTGACCGAATGGACCGAACCAGTTTATAATCAGTCTAATTCACTTGAATAAAATATTTTCGATTGAATCTGTCAACACCAGTCGATTGAACTCGTAGAATCGATACAATTTTCTAATTAAATTTAGCTATATTTAAAATTATTTTAAATAAAATTACATATTTAAATAAAATAGAGATTTATAAATTGTTTATCAATTAATTTAAACATTTGAATTTTTAAATTTTTTAGATATTTAAGTAACACATTTTATTCAAATTTATTATAAAAAGTACCAAAAGTTTATCTATATATATATGTATATATATATTTGTATGTTAAAGCATATTTTAAAGAAAAAAATTAAATTGTATGATTTTTATAAATTAAATTGTATGATTTTTATAAATTAAATTGTATGATTATATTAAAGCGTATTTATAAATTAAATTGCATGATTATTAAAGAAGAAAGTAAGAAAAATAATAAAACTACTATTTATGAGCTGCATTAAATGTTGATCTATTTTTTTGCTACTAATTTAATAACTAGGATGACTCTTTAAATAAATATACATGCTCTATGCCTATATATGAATTTCCATAAGAGACTGTAATAATCAAATTTAGACTCAAATCTATTAATATATAATAAGAATTAACTTAATTAATTTTTAGAAACTATTTCCCGCCAAAAACATTAATTACTGCCTATAAATAGTAATTTAACAAAACAAGCATTAATTGCACATAATTTCTTTTTTTATATTAATTTAAAAAGGTACAAATATCCGTATATATTGTACAATAAGGAGAATTTTTTGGAAGCTACATAAATTCGTACAAATATTTGTTTTTCTTTAAAATATAGATATATTCGTTTTTCTTCAAAATATAGATATATTTCTTTAAAATATACATAATTTCCTAAAATCGCTCTTATTTATTTCCGATTAACAACAATTGTTTATGAATAAATCATTATTTCACGCCAAGATTTCCAATTTTTTTTTTTTTTGCTACATTAACATAACATGGAGCATTGATTGCAATAGATATATACTATGGAATAAATCTCCTATTTTTAAGCCTCCATATATATCTATAAATCATTTATATGATAAAATCGTAACAATATCTTTTTATTTAAATAATTTTCATCAAAGTAGCTCAGGGTGTAGTTCCTGCGAACTCTGGTCCGGGGCAAGAACGTGTTACCTCACCATTAAGGGGCATTTCTTTTTGTACTATTGGAGAAATCCTCAACGGCAGGATCACTTTTTTCGGTACCAATGTACATAAAAGGATATTCACTACCACAATTATTTCTTCACGTCATTCACAGCGTTCAGAGAAAAAAAATTATACAGATAAATTTTAGAATACAACAATAATATCATGCCGCCGGTCTGGGATACACTTAATTCCATGAGTAGGACAAACAAACTTTATTTGTGATTGAAAGCAGTCCGAATATTTGAAACGCATCACGAACGAGAGAGCTGGAACGCATTCCATATACTGTTTCATGATGAACAGGTAAATATTTTTATTAGTAATATCAAATTTATAAATTTATTTTATAAATTTATTTTTATTAGTATTCCGAATAATTTATTTTTTTTTGTGAAAATATTAATATTTATAAATTAATTTTGTAGGGTGCATTTATTAAAGGCATAATACGTTCTACAAATATGGGAGCATTTCGAGGTGTACTGAACGAAGGCGAGGTGTATGCAATCAGCAACTATGTCGTTGAATTTA